CAACTGGACTTTCTTTTGAAGACATTTCACTTCTCATCCAAGAAGCTTCTTCCGCTCTGACTTGGATGGTGGGGAATGGAAGGGTTTATTACACTCCTTGCAGACAGCTGGTCATTTGCATCCTTTGAGAGGGTCGTTGAGGCCACTTGGAGGTTTGTCTGTGTCCTCAGGGTCACCTGAGTGGTGCAAATGGTTCCTGTAGTCTCCAATTTTTCTCTCTCTGGAAATCCACTCCTACTCCCACACCATTCAAAGGGTCTTCATCCCAAATTGCATAGCTAAAAGTCTATAGAGATTCTCAGTCCTCCAGGTCATGGTTGTCCCAAAGGGGCTTTTTTTCAGGAGGCGACTGGACTTCTCGTTTTTCTTTGAAGAGGTTTTGCTTCTCATCCAAGAAGCTTCTCCTGCTCTGTCTGGATGGTGGGGAAGGGAAGGATTTACATTCCTTGGAGACAGCTGGTCATTTGCATCCTTTTAAGAAGGGTCGTTGAAGCCCAGGAGGCAACTGGACAAGAAAACTCCAGTTGCCTCCTGAAAAAGCACCTTTGGGACAACCATTGATTGATTGATTGATTGGTTGGTTCGATTTATATGCCGCCCTTCTCCGGAGACTCAGGGCAGCTTACAATGCGTTAAGCAATAGCCTTCATACTTTTGTATATACCTGCTTAGTAGGGCTTTCGCCCCCCCCCCCCAAAGCAGTGTTCTTTTTTATACAAAGTCAGCTTATTGCCCCCACAATCCGGGTCCTCATTTTACCTACCTCGGAAGGACGGAAGGCTGAGTCAACCTTGAGCCTGGTGAGATTTGAACTCGCAGTAATTGCAGGCAGCTGGTGCTACTTAACAGCTCTTTAGTCTTCTGCGCCACCAAGGCTCAATAAACCATGACCTGGATGACTGAGAATCCCTACAGACATTTGCTGAGACAGGAAGACCCCCCCTACACACACACACAGTTTTGGGTTTAATTTGGATTTACGATGCTCACAAACAAACCAGATTTAGTGGATCATGTCTAAGTGCTAGTAGCCCCGTTCGCTAGAGTTCAACCCTCTTTTAATTGGGTTTTCAGGTAGTCCTCAATTTACAAACTTTGGTTTAGTGGCCATTCGAAGCTACAAATGGCACGAAAAAAGTGACTTATAACCATTTTTTCACACCTGCGACCGTAGCAACAACCCCACCGTCAAGTGATCAAAATTCGGACGCTTGGCGATGGGTTCATATTTATGACGGTTGCAGAGTCCTGGGGTCACGTGACCATCCCCCCCACCTCCCCACCCCCCGGTTTTGTGACTTTCTGACAAGCAAAGTCAACGGGGAAGCCGGATTCGCTCGGCAGCCGTGTCTCTAACTGAACAACTGCAGTGATTCACTTACTGACGATGCTCGCAAAATGGGGCAAAACTCCCTTAAATCCCTTGTTTTTCTTAGCGACGGGAGCGCTGGGCTCAATTGTGGTAATAAATCGAGGGTTGCAAGAAAAATTAATCAGTGGAACGAATTGCCTCCAGAAGTGGTAAATGCTCCAACACTGGAAGTTTTTAAGGAGAGATTGGAAAACCATTTGTCTGAAGTGGTGTAGGGTTTCCTGCCTAAGCAGGGGGGGTTGGACTAGAAGACCTCCAAGGTCCCTTCCAAGTCTGTTATTCTATTCTATTCTATTCTATTCTATTCTATTCTATTCTATTCTATTCTATTCTATTCTAGTTCTAATTTCTGTTCTGTTCTGTTCTATTCTATTCCAGTTCTAATTTTTATTCTATTCTATTCTATTCTATTCTATTCTATTCTATTCTATTCTATTCTATTCTATTCTATTCTATTCTATTCTATTCTATTCCAGTTCTAATTTCTATTCTGTCCTGTCCTGTCCTGTCCTGCCCTGTCCTATCCTATCCTATCCTATCCTATCCTATCCTATCCTATCCTATCCTATCCTATCCTATCCTATCCTATCCTATCCCTATCCCTATCCCTATCCTATTTTCTATATCCTATTTTCTATTCCTTTGGAAGCTGTGGTCCTCCAGATGTGGCAAACCTTTCCTTGTTCTCCAGATGTCGTGCCGTCTTTTCCGAAGACGACAACGATTAACCTTAGTGAAACATTTCCTACCCTGCCTTTCTCCTTCGTGCAGTCTGACATGCAGTTCCCGTGTCACATCTGGAGCGCCGGGGATTTTTTAATCTCAAGTGTGTTGTGATTTTTCTTCTTGTTGTTGTTGTTGTTTAAATTCCTATTTTGCCTTAACCCCGCGCTCCAAAACGGAAAGCCTTCGGGGGGAGAACAACGACCAGTGGGAGGGCAGCGCCGCCATCCAAAACTGATTCCCCCAGTTGTCCACCCCGGGTTAATTTTCTTGCTCCATCGGGGTGGCATGAGTCACCCGGGACGACGCGAGGAAGAGGCGGAAGCGCCAGGACGGCTTCGCCATAGTAACGGGAGTGTTGCCGAGTTTGTGTTCAACAATCATCAAGCACCCCAGTGACTCCTGATAATGTGCACTTATCCAAATTGCGTCTCTGGCAGGAGTTCAAACTCAGCCAAGGCTTCTCCTGCACGGATGAAATCCGGGTTTTGTTTCCCCCCCCATTATATTTGAGTTTATTCTAAGAAAAAACCCACGTTAGAAAAGCGAAAAGAGGAAAAAAATATTTTTAAAAAAAATCTAAACAGCTTGTTGTCCGAGTACAATTAGTTTTGAGCAACAAAACAACGATAAGCATAATAGTAATATACGTATCATTAATAATAAACACATAGTAAGAATAAGATAATTAGAATAGGATTACTAGGGACGCGGTGGCTCAGCGGGTAAGACGCTGAGCTTGTTGATCGAAAGGTCGGCAGTTCAGCGGTTCGAATCCCTAGCACCACGTAATGGGGTGAGCTCCCATGACTTGTCCCAGCTTCTGCCAACCTAGCAGTTCGAAAGCAGGTAAAAAATGCAAGTAGAAAAATAGGGACCACCTTTGGTGGGAAGGTAAGAGCGCTCCATGCGCCTTTGGCATTGAGTCATGCCGGCCACATGACCACAGAGATGTCTTCGGACAGCGCTGGCTCTTCGGCTTTGAAACGGAGACGGAGCACCGCCCCCTAGAATCGGAATGACTAGCACATATGTGCGGGGGAAACCTTTACCTTTACCTTATATTTAATATATGAAGGACACGGTGGCTCAGTGGCTAAGACGCTAAGCTCATCGATCGAAAGGTCGGCAGTTCAGCGGTTCGAATCCCTAGTGCCGCATAATGGGGTGAGCTCCTGTGACTTGTCCCAGCTTCTGCCACCTAGCAGTTCGAAAGCACGTAAAAAATGCAAGTAGAAAAATAGGGACCACCTTTGGTGGGAAGGGAACACTGTTCAGTGCGCCTTTGGCATTGAGTCATGCCGGCCACATGACCACGGAGACGTCTTCGGACAGCGCTGGCTCTTCGCTTTGAAACGGAGACGAGCACCGCCCCCTAGAATCGGGAATGACTAGCACATATGTGCGGGGAAACCTTTACCTTTACCTTATATTTAATATATGAAGGGACACGGTGGCTCAGTGGCTAAGACGCTAAGCTCATCGATCGAAAGGTCGGCAGTTCAGCGGTTCGAATCCCTAGTGCCGCATAATGGGGTGAGCTCCCGTTACTTGTCCCAGCTTCTGCCAACCTAGCAATTCGAAAGCAGTAAAAAATGCAAGTAGAAAAATAGGACCACTTTTGGTGGGAAGGGAACAGCGTTCCATGTGCCTTTGGCATTTAGTCATGCGGCCACATGGCCACGGAGACATCTTCGGACAGTGCTGGCTCTTCAGCTGTGAAATGGAGATGAGCAGCGCCCCCTAGAGTCGGGAACGACTAGCACATACGTGCGAGGGGAACCTTTACCTTTACCTTTAATAATAAGATTAGCCTATCCATACTGGAAAACTTTCATTATATAATTAATCATTCTCTCATTCTTTTTAGACCCTAACCTCCGTTTCTGTTAGTTAGCCATTGGTAAAAACAAGTCCCATGTTAAAAAGTATTCTGTTTCTTCCTTCTCCTTTATTTTTAGTGTTAATCCGTCCAGCTCTGCACTTTCTAATATTTTTATTATAACACTTTCGTCTGAAGGGATCTCTTCATTTTCCCACTGTTGTCCAAACACAATTCTTGCTGCTGTCACCACATGTCAGATTAGATATCTATTCCCTTTATTATACTGTTCTGGTAAAATACCCAACAAAAAGATTTTCTGGTTTAAAATCAATATGTGGCTTTATCATTTTGTTCTAACTATGTATGTAAGTTTAGTCCAATATTTTTTTTGCAAAATTTTTTTGCAAAAAACACCAGCCGGGTGTTTTTTTTTTCGTGCCCAAGAACTCACCATTTCCCGGTTTTTAGCTTGGTGCTTTAACCAAACCAAACTATCTCTCCCTGCATCTTCCCAGGATGAAATCAGAATTATAGCAAGCAGAGATGCCAAACGCTGAATTCTAGGTCTTTTGTAAAGCCGGCGTAAAACTTTCAAAAGTATTTTCCGTACAAACCCCCCCCCCCCGGTCCTTGGGTGTTATTAATGCGATGGACCAAAGTAGTAATAACAATGGCTGTGCAATTGTGGCTGTGTGTCTGTGGGTGTGGTTGTGTAACTCTTTTCCTTCCTTCTGCGGTGCGGTTGATGCTGTAAGAGGTTGTGATGTTGTGGAGGTCGAGCCAACTTAGCGAAAAATACTTCCGAAAGTGGCCTTTTTAAGCCAATTCTCGGAATCTTAGCTTCTTTCTTTTTAGGCTTGTATTTTTTTTTTTAATTTTTTTTTTTTGCATTTGTGTACAAAATGTTTTGCAATCCCTGGAAGACAATCCACACTCATTTCAGCCCTTGCTATTTTCAAGGATGGCCGTTTCAACCTCCTAGTATTGTGTGTGTATGTTTAACAAAATAGTTATTCTTTGTTGATGCTGCCAGTGACGACAAGATTCATAACCTTCCCTTTTTCTCTTTGGCTTGCTCAGGAGAAAGAAAGGAACTCTCGGAGAAAGAAGAAAAAGGGGCCCGTGATCCAAAACGAGGAAAGAGCTTTCCCCCCGGTGACCGAGGATGAAGAGATGGGCCAGGATGGGTCGGGCACCAGCGGCAATGAGGAGGAGATGGCTGAGGAGGTCGAGGCAGAAGGTGAGATGTTTCTCCAGGATGAAGTTGAATCTCGTGGTCCGTTTTTGCTTAGAGCAAGGATCTCCAAACTTGGCAAAACTTTAATGTCTGTGGAGATGCTCGGTCATCTCGAGTCATGCTTGTCCCAAAGGTGCTTTTTCAGGAGGCAACTGGACTTTGATTTTGCTTGAAGACGTTTCGATTCTCATCCAAGAAGCTTCTTCTGTTCTAGCTGAAGTCAGAAGTCAGCCAGAGTGGAAGAAGCTTCTTGGATGAGAAGCAAAATGTCTTCAAGCAAAAACAAAGGAAGTCCAGTTGCTTTTTTGGGTGGAGGGGGAAACCCCCAACTTTAAGACTTGTGGACTTCAACTCCCAAAATCCCTCAGCCGTCATGGCCTGGGGAATTCTGGGAGTTGAAGTCCACCCATTTTAAAGTCACCCAGGATGAGAAACACTGCTGTAATCCTTAATATTTCTATTTCCTGAGCTGGCTTGCCACTAAGGGCTGACCTTCATGCTTGGGAGCCCACCCAAGCCGTGTTCTGTGTTATTCCCGCGCTACAACAATGTGAGGACCACCACACAGATATTCCAACAGAATGTGACGTTAACAAAAGAAATTCTCAGGATCTGCAATTGAATTAGATTTCAAAAGACCTGAATTTCTGCCAACGATGTATTTAATTTTAAGGAAGCAACTCTTTTAAGACCACATGTCATGTAGCTGTCAGGTGCTCTGCAGAAACACAAGGGTGCCTGCATCTTTCTAAGTGGGGTGTGGATCAGAGTGTGGTTATTCTTCAGCTATTGTGGGTCCCAGAATTCGCAGTGCAGTTTTTCAGTCCAAACCTTTCCCAGTTATAGATTTAAAACACAGTGTAGGAAGTTAGCACCACCCCTCTCCTAGGAAAGTGAGATATTTTGGGAAATATTAAAAGGGCAAATATTTCCCCTAAAAGGGAGGCAGAAACTCACAAGCCCCACCCCACCCCTTTGGCAATAGACCATTAAGGCCTGGGCCAGTCTATTCTACATAACAAAGATCTACCTCCTTCAAGCAGAGCCATAATAGGAATTGCCCACAGCCCTTTCATTACATCATCACCCAGCAAGAGTCAACCAAATTTGGGACTCAGGACAGCCTACAGAGTTGTCCCTGCATGGCCCCATGGGAGTCTGACAACCAATCAAAATACAAGCTCAAATTCAAAGCCGAACAGAGGGTATAAATCTCTCTCTCTCTCTCTCTCTCTCTCTCTCTCTCTCTCTCTCTCTCTCTCTCTCTCTCTCTCTCTCTCTGCCATGTGCTTTTTGCCCAGGACCTCAAGCCATGTGATCCTGTCCACCATTAAACCATCTTTCCAAGCAGTCTTCATGTTTCCAGTGTCTTTTTCCCCGCTTGGAACTGAACCCAGATGGACATTTCTTCCAACAGATTTAAAACACAGTTTTAAGGCCAGATAGCTCTTACAGAAGATTAGAAATTAAATTGCATTTTGAAACAGGAATTTTGTGACAAAACATCTTCAAAATTTTGTATTTCAATATTTCTTTATAAACACAGTTTTGTGCTTGGCATTTTGTTTTGCTTCTTCAATTCCACATTAATGCAAACACACACACACACACACACACACACACACACACACACACACACACACACATACAAAAACCCAAAACAACCATCGGATTGAATACTTCTAAACGAACAGATGCAAAGCTGGTCTGGACTGAAATAGTACAAACTATCCACAAAACTCGCATTAGATACTCTCATTTTCATTTTGCAAAAATGCAAAACACAAGAACGGATTGAATACTTATAAATGAACAGATGTAAAACTGGCAGGGGCTGAAACGGCACCATCCATCCGCTAAAAATGTGTTATATTTTTTTCATGTTCTTTTTCAGATGTAACAACAGTTTACAGGAACTTTTGGTGATTGTACTTCACTTGGTCTTTTTGGGGAGGATTAGAACTGCATATCACATCCTTGTAAATTGCCATGATAGGGCCAGAATTTATTTTAAAAAATGTTGTTAAATAATCTGTTGATTCCCCTGGGAAGAAACTTCTTTGCAAGTCTGCTATTTTTCTGCATCAAATCATCTTTCTCATTAACTTTCTGCCACTTCAGGTTGTCCTTGATTTACAACTGGTTGCTTAGCGGCTGATCCAAGTTATGACCTATCTGAAAAAGGAGAGTTTTAGTGTGGATATGAAATTCCAACAATCGCTGCTCCCTGCAGTCACATGCCTGCACTCCCAGCACCTGGCAAGAGAACTGCATTTGCAGCATCCTGCTTTTTATAACAATTTGCCAAAAAATGGGTCGGACACAACTTTGCGACAAACAACAACAATATCACATTGTTGAAATAAGTCTTTTTCACTAGGGTAGTTTATAATTCCATTTAAACAGCTGGCACTTTTGCTGCTTCTTGGAGACGTTTATCCTCGCCTGCCTCTTGCTCCGTTCCAAATATTTGATGAGTTGAAAATAATATTCTCCTGTTTTTAGGATCCGGTTTCCAATGTGGTTGTTTTGTTTTGTTTTTTCTAATTAAGACCTTTTTAAGGACTTTGTTAGCGTTGTTTTTGTTTGATTGACGTGCACTGTTCAGCATCGGGCGACCCTGCAGACGGGCAATTTATCTAAATTTAATGAATTCATAAATCCGCAAAGATTGAAGGGGTTAACCTAGTAAAAAGGGGGAGGAACTCTGCAATGTTTCTCTGCTATCCCCAGGAGAAAAAAAAATAAAATAAAAAAATGTGGGAGGTTTTCAGTGATGTGTCATCCCAGAAACTTTAATTAATGTTGAGCATCGCTTTCCCAATTACCGGTTCAGATAACATCAGATAGGAGGACTGGTTTCCTGTCTTAAGATGCAGAATAATAAGATAATTCAGAATTTATCTGGAACCTCTGCAGATGTCCCTGCAAAGCGTCTGTTGCATCCAAAATAATCCCAAAATAATTATTTATATATTTATATATATATATATATAAAATTAACTCTTCCCTCCCAGGGATTTTATCTCATTCATGGCGGTTTACGTCAAAGGGATGCAAAACGCATCCTTGGCATTCAGTCGTGTTGTTTGCATGGCCATGCCAATCTTCACATGGGCGTCTGTGGCCGGCATTTGCATGCAGCATGATGCCACCGACACACAAAATGCGGGTACTCCTCGACTTTGCGACGGCAATTTTTGTCGCTAAGTGAGACGGTAAAGATGAGGTGGCCAATGTGACGACCTGTTTTGCCATGTTAAATAAATCACGGCTGTTCGTAAGTGGCCGGTCGTTCATTAAGTGAATTCAGCTTTCCCCATTGACTTCGATTGTCTGAAGCCAGCTACAACATTGTAAACCCTAGCCAGTTGCCAAGCACTTGGAATTTGATCATGTGAACGGGGGGAGATGCTGCCATGGTTGTAAGTGCGAGGACCAGTCGCAAGTTACTATTTTCAGTGCAACCAAGATGATGAGGGGACTGGAGGCTGAAACATAGGATGAACGGTTGCAGGAACTGGGCCTGGCTGGTCTAGTGAAGAGACGGACCAGGGGAGACAGGAGAGCAGTCTTCCAATACTTGAGGGGCTGCCACAGAGAGGAGGAAGGGCGTGAAGCTATTTTCCAAAGCACCTGAAGGCCAGACAAGAAAGAATGGATGGAAACTGAGCAAGGAGAGATTCAACCTGGAAATAAGGAGGAATTTTCTGACAGGGAGAACAATCAACCAATGGAACAGAAGTTGCCTTCGGAAGTTGTCTTCAGAGCTTCATCACTGGAGGTTTTCAAGAAGAGACTGAACTGCCATCTGTCAGAAATGGTGTAGGGTCTCCTGCTTGGGTGGGGGGTTGGACTAGATGACCTCCAAGGTCCCTTCCAACTCTGTTAATCTGAATCTATCTAAGACGATCAAAGGCCTGGAGACTAAAGCATGAAGAATGGTTTACAGGAACTGGGCCTGGCTAGTCTAGTGAAGAGAAGGACCAGGGGAGACAGGATAGCAGTCTTCCAATATTTGAGGGGCTGCCACAGAGAGGAGGAAGGGGGTCAAGCTATTTTCCAAAGCACCCAAAGGCCAGACAAGGAACAATGGATGGAAAACGAACAACGAGAGATTCAACCTGGAAATAAGGAGAAGTTTTCTGACAGTGAGAACAATCAACCGATGGAACAGAAGTTGCCTTCAGAAGTTGTGGGAGCTTCATCCCTGAAAGCTTTCAAGAAGAGACTGGACTGCCATCTGTCAGAAATGGTGGAGGGCCTCCTGCTTTGGCAGGGGGTTGGACTAGATGACCTACCAGGTCTCTTCCAACTCTGTTAATCTCTGTATCCATGCTGTTGGAACTTTGCATTGATTTCCATCCTGGCTAAAAATCGAGACCAACGATTCAGCAAGGAGCATGGGCTTTGGGAAGAAGGCACGGCCTCTGTCCGTCTGTGACAACTCGCTGCGAGACAAATATGAAAGAAACGGTGGATAATTAAAGAGCAATTAAAGGATCCTGAAGGAGGGGCAGGATGAAACGTCAACAGGCGAAAATCAAAATCGGGTTTTAAATAATTAAAATAGAATGGTTAAATTGTCCCGCGGCGAGTTCGCTGTGGCAAGTTGTCCCATTCTGTCCCTCGGGAATGGTTCATTAAACGAAGCTTTTATTTGCATGCTTTTTCGGATTAGGGGCTTGCCTAAAATCTATGCGTGTGATGGTGCTACCCATGGGGTGATCTAACTGGATTTAGCATCCAGCGCATCGGGGTTTGCCGATGGGAATGACCAGCGGTCTCGTTTGCAAAGCTTTAAGATCCATTCATGGTCTGTTGCGTTGCAGTAGTACCCGTCTGCAAATATGGGCTGCAGAAGACGGATGTTCCAGAGGTTTCCTTCCCTAAAGCCATCTGATCATGTTCTCCTGTGAGCACGTGCGCCGAAGCTGATCGGCGTGTTTTGTCTCTTTTTAACGCCAAGCCCTTGAATTCGGGTGCTGAAATGGAGGCCTCTCTGTGCCGTATTGGTAATGTGGTGTCTCTGTTTATTTACTCGGAGAAACTCCGAGACTCTGGTCAGTTGGATCCCAAGATTCTGGAGTTTTATTGCTCTTCGAATTGGTGCAGGACATAATCGTTTTAGTGACCACAATTGAGACTGGCAACTCAGTCATTAAGGGAAGCCATTGCTAAAGGAAACCACAACGGTGCTTATGATCTAACTTCAGCTTTCCTTTTCTCTACAGGCCTGCAAAGGTTGTAAACGCAATGATTGCAAAGTTACTTTATTAACGTATCTGTGAGAGGTCGCAAAATGAGACTGTCATTAAATGAAGACTGCCCGGTCTTACTCTCTGGCTGGATTGGGTTCTGTCCACTGTCCCTGAACCTCAATAGCTCCTAAGAACATCCAAGCAACTACTAGTCCCCCGGGCTGCAGTCCGCTATCGGGCCGTGGCCTATTCAGAATTGGGCCACGAGAGTGGCTGGCCGAAGCGAGCACACGTGCGCACACAGCTCAGTTTGTGTGAGTGGTGGGATGGCAGGCCTTCTCACGCCTGTGTGCCAGCCTGCCCCTTGTGCAAGTCGAGCTGTGTGCATGCACGCCAGCCCACCACTTGCGCAAGGGCCGTGTGTGCACTTGTTGCTCGCACAGCCCAATTCCCATGTTTCCACCCCCCCCCCAGGCTGGGCCACTAGGTTGCAAAGATTGGGGCCCTCTGCCCTAGTCCAACCTCTGCCCTTAAGACAGGGGGTTGTGTTTGACCTCAGAGAGGTTGGGGCAGTGGTGAAATGTAAAATTTGTTACTACCGGTTCTGTGGGCGTGGCTTGGTGGGGGGCATAATGTGACTGGGTGGGCGTGGCCAACTTTTTCTTTTTCCTTTAACTTTTCAAAGCATTTTTTCTAATGCTTTGAAAAGCCTCTGCCGATCAGGCAACTCAGCTGGGATCGTCAGAGACTTTTCAAAGCATTTTTTTTACCACCTCTTCGGCCAAGAGGTTGCAGAAAAAAATGCTTTGAAAAGCCTCTGATGATCCCAGCTGAGCCTCTGATCATCAGAGGCTTTTTTTTTTTACTTTTAAAAGCATTTTTTCGTCGGAAGAGGTTGTAGAAAAAATGCTTTTTAAAAGTTAAAAAAAAGCCTCTGATGATCGTGCGGCTCAGCTGGGGCATTTGGGGGGGGGCAGGGATTTTTGCTACCGGTTCTCCGAACCACCACCCGCCATTGCTACCGGATCAGGCGATCCGGTCCAAACCGGGAGCATTTAACCCCTGGATTGGGGGCGTGGCCAGCTTGACGTCATGCGTGTCAGCAGCAGCTGTGGTGGCCCAGGTGCTCTGCCACTGAAAACGGGCTCCCAAGCTCCATTTTCAGCTGCGACGGCTCCCCACAACCCTCTGCCAGCGGAAACGGAGCTTGTGGGCTCGCATTCGGTCCTCCCGAGCTCCGTTTTCGCTGGCAGAAGCACCGTGGGCTTTGCTGTTTCCAGGGCAGCCCCGTAGGCCAGATCTAAGCACCCTGCGAGCCGGATCTGGCCCCTGGGCCGTGAGTTTGACACCCCTGCCTTAAGAAATCAGTAGTAGGATGCGGTAATGAAATTTCTCCACTGCTACCGAAACATGTCCAGACACGGTAAAGCCACAGGCATAATCTCAACCTACGTCAACCGCATTTGAATTCTAGAGTGATACTGGTGGCGCAGTTGATCTGGGGCAGTGATTTTCACCTTTTCTTCACCGTGGACCCCTTTAAATACCTTTTGTGGCCACGGACCTCCAAGACCTAACTCAAGATTTAAAGCACTAGATTGCATCAAACATTCGCAGACACCCCCCTGGGACGACCTCGCGGCCTCCCAGGGGTGTGCGGACCGAGGTTGGGAACCACTGACCTAAGGCATCAGTTGCCAGAAGTCAACCAATGATAGCTGTAGCGACATCTTACCCTGTTTTCCCGAAAATAAGACATCTCCTGATAATAAGTCCAATCAGGGTTTTGAGTGCATTCAGTAAAATAAGCCTCCTCCCCGAAAATAAGCCCTCCCTGAAAATATTTAAACGCAGAGTTGGAAATCAGGTAAGACAGCAAGAGGAGCCCCATCATGTGCCATGCGCCCCAAAATAATAAGACCTCCCCAAAAATAAGGCCAAGCGCTTATTTCGGGGTTTCAAAAAAATATAAGACAGGGTCTTATTTTCAGGGAACCATGGTAAATAGGTGCTAAGAGTTAGGATTGCAAAAAGCAGCATCTTTTTTTCAAAATGTTCCTGAGTGCGAGTCAGCCACAAGACAGGGTAGGTAGTGGACTGAGCATGCTTGTGAGCATTTAGACGTAGGCGCTCTTATCTTTAAGCATATTAGTCCTTATCTCTGACAGGAGTGCCACCAACCAGCTTGTCAATGTGTTTTGTCAAGTCTGGTCCTGCAGTTGGATGCAAACTAAAGCTTTAGGGGCCCCACCCAGTCACTTGGGAAACGCGAAACGTTGCTCAGTGGCAAGGCGTGTGCTTGGCGTGCAAAAATAACCCAGATCTGATTCCCAGCAAACCCAAACATCAAGAGTATCGTTTATCCACCTCTGATTCTTGGAGAATGAAGTTTGGGACCCAAAGTTGGCAATGGATTTGGATAGCAATAGCATTTAGACTTATATACTGCTTCACAGTGCTTGGCAGCCCTCTCTAAGTGGTTTACAGTGTCAGCCTCTTGCCCCCAACGATCTGGGTCCTCATTTTACCCACCTCGGAAGGATGGAAGGATGAGTCAACCTTGAGCCAGTCAGAATTGAAGTGCTAGCAGTGGACAGAGGAAGGAAGGAAGGAAGGAAAGGGAAGGAAGGAAGGAAGGAAGGAGAAAAGGAAGAGCAATAGAACTTAGACTTAAATACCGCTTCACAGTGCTTTCCAGCCCCCTCTTAGTGGTTTACAGAGTCAGCCTGTTGCCCCCAACAATCTGGGTCCTCATTTTACCCACCTCGGAAGGATGGAAGGCCGAGTCAACCTTGAGCCAGTCAGAATTGAAGTGCTAGCAGGGGACAGAGGAAGGAAGGAAGGACAGGATGGATGGATGGATGGATGGATGGAAGGAAGGAAGGAAGGAAGGAAGGAAGGAAGGAAGGAAGGAGAAAAGGAAGAGCAATAGAACTTAGACTTATATACCGCTTCATAGTGCTTTATAGCCCTCTCTTCCAGAGTCAGCCTGTTGCCCCCAACGATCTGGGTCCTCATTTTACCCACCTCGGAAGGAGGGAAAGCCGAGTCAATGTTGAGCTTGGTGAGATTTGAGCTGCCAAATTGCAGGCAGTCAGCAGAAGTAGTCTGCAATAGTACACTGCAACCACTTTGCCACCACAGGCTCATACTGTGTTTCCTCGAAAATAAGACCGGGTCATATATTAATTTTTGCTCCAAAAGACACATTAGGGCTTATTTTCTGGTTAGATCTTATTTTGGGGAAAATACGGTACTAAATGCATCCATCTGGCTGACAATCTTAACTGGGGCTTATTTTGAAGGTAGGGCTTATATTACGAGCATCCTGGAAAATCATGCTAGGGCTTATTTTCTGGTTAGGTCTTATTTTCGGGGAAACAGGATAATATGGATAATCTTTTCTGTGCCTAGATGTTCGTTGAGCTTCCGAGAGGCATAGTCAACCAGATCCTTCAAACGAAGAACCTGTATTCAAGCAGTGAAAATTCACCGGTCTCATTTCACAAGGGCCCAAGGAAAGGAAAACTAATCTTGTACAACCTGGTACATTTGTAGAGAGGAATAAACGTTGAAGCTGGAAGAGAACTGAGGGGGTTGAAAGGGAGACGCAGGATGTGTTTTGTGTGTGTGTGTGTGAATACACCTGCCTTCATTTCAGCTTCACCCTCTACTTCACAGGTCTCCATCTCTGGCTCCTTGCCTAGCTGTTAGTTCTGCAGAATCCAATATTTTCCATGGTCTGCTCTTCCCGTGTCCTCCGAATGTTAAAACAAAACATAACCGCCCGCCCCAAAGTTTGATCTCGCCATCCTGATGGTTCTTCTGATCGTTCGGCCGTAGCCTTCTGCCTGTCACGCGTGTGACAGGAAACAAGAGTTCCCAGCTGGTATTTAGCTCGAGATTGTTCTCCTTTGTTCGGGTCTGTTTCTTGGAATCCGTCGCTCGTTGGTCCGCCTGGGCCTGCGTTAACGCCCGTGTGCCGTTCTGCTTTGCTGTTTTCTGCCTTAATGGCTCGTGACGCTGTTAAATCAGGCTCTTTGGTCTCTTTCCAAGGGTACCCCGGCTGAAGTGCTGTACAAAGGAACCATTACCAAGGTAATTGGAGAAGACAGCAGCAGCAGAGCGGAGAAGGCAAGGGACGAGGCGCTGCCCAAGGGACACGTCATTTACGAGGGGAAGAAAGGACATATCCTGAGTTACGATGGTGAGTGGAAGCTCGCTTCGACCGGGAATCCCGCCGCTTGGTCGCCCCACGGGTGAGGAAACCTCCCAAGGGAGTATTTGGGGCAGTGGTGAAATCCAATTTTTTTTTACTACCGGCTCTGTGGACGTGGCTTGGTGGGCGTGGTGTGGCTTGGTGGGTGTGGCTTGGTGGGCATGGCAGGGGAAGGATACTGCAAAATCCCCATTCCCACCCCACTCCGGGGGAAGGATACTGCAAAATCTCCATTCCCACCCTACTCCAGGTGAAGGGAATTGCAAAATCTCCATTCCCACCCCACTCCTGGGGGAAGGATACTGCAAAATCCCCATTCCCATCCCACTCCAGGGGAAGGATACCGCAAAATCTCCATTCCCACCCCACTCCTGGGGGAAGGATACTGCAAAATCCCCATTCCCTCCCCACTCCTGGGGGGAAGGATATTGCAAAATCCCCATTCCCACCCCACTCCAGGGGAAGGATACTGCAAAATAACCATTCCCACCACACTCCTGGGGAAAGGATATTGCAAAATCTCCATTCCCACCCCACTCCAGGGGAAGGATACTGCAAAATAACCATTCCCACCACACTCCTGGGGGAAGGATGCTGCAAAATCTCCATTCCCACCCCACTCCAGGGGAAGGATACTGCAAAATCCCCATTCCCTCCCCACTCCTGGGGGAAGGATACTGCAAAATCTCCATTCCCACCCCACTCTGGGGCCAGTCAGAGGTGGCATTTGCCGGTTCTCCAAACTGCTCAAAATTTCCGCTTCTGGTTCTCCAGAACCTGTCAGAACCTGCTGGATTTCACCCCTGATTTGGGGGCTCCCATGTTTTGGATGAAAGGCCCCAATACAAGGTTTCAGGAGTGATGGAGAACTCCTTCAGATGTTTCTGGCCGCCGTTGCTTGGTTGAGCTGGCGTTGATGAGCTTCCCGCCACTCGTCCCTGTTTTCTAACCCACCCTAAAGGTTGAAGATTAAAGGGACGTGGTGGCTTGGTGGTTAAAAGGCTGAGCTTGTCGATCAGAAAGGTCGGCAGTTCAGCGGTTCGAATCCCTAGTGCCGCATAACAGAGTGAGCTCCCATTAACTTGTCCCAGCTTCTGCCAACCTAGCAGTTCGAAAGCACGTTAAAAAATGCAAGTAGAAAAATAGGGACCACCTTTGGTGGGAAGATAACAGCGTTCTGTGCGCCTTTGCCGTTGAGTCCTGCTGGCCACATGACCACAGAGACGTCTTCAGACAGCGCTGGCTCTTTGGCTTTGAAACGGAGATGAGCACTGCCCCCTAGAGTCAGGAACGACAAGCACATATGTGGGACGGGAACCTTTACTGTTACCTTTATTATAAAAAAAGATGTTGAGACTCTGGAAAGAGTGCAGAAAAGAGCCACAAAGAAGATTAGGGGGCTGGAGTTTAAAACACGATGAACAACGGTTGCAGGAACAGTTTACCAAAAAGAAGGACTGGGGCGGGGGACGACAACATGAAAGCAGTCTTCCAGTATTTGAGGGGCTGCCAAAAAGAAGAAGGGGATTAACTTATTTTCCAGAAGGCAGGATAAGAAGCAACGGATGAAAGCTAATCAAGGAGAAAAGCAACCTAGAACTAAGGAGAAACTTCCTAAAAGTGAGAACAATTAACCAGCGGAACAGCTTGCCACCAGAAATCATGGGCGCTCCATCACTGGAGGTTTTTAAGAAGAGACTGGACAGTCATTTGTCTGAAATCGTATAGGTTCTCCTGTTTGAGCAGGGGGCTGGAGTAGAAGACCTCTAAGGTCCCTTCCAGGTCTATTGAGTTCTAAATTCTAGTAGGAGTCTTGGAGACCACAGAGTAATATTTCCTCTCCGGACTTCTGGCTCTCCCGTGTGAACTGTGCTGCTAAGCCTACCAAGGAAAGCTTGGTTTACAGGCTAGGATGATCAGAGTTTAAGGTCAGCGTGGATGTCCTCTCTGCCCCCCGGTGACACGTCAGGATTAAGCCGCCGAGTTTGCAGAGTCGGTTTTGTGCGTTCGATCAGACTGCGTCATTGGGACGCTTGAGTACAGCCGAGGGGTGAACAAGGGCCAGATGTCAATCTGCGATGCCCCGAGGTGCTCCTTCACGCTCTTTGCAAATCACAAGTCCTGTGGGCTGAGCGTCCCTCTGCAAGGACGCTCTTTCCTCCCAATTAGCATTTTTTCCATCCGTTGCATCTTATCTTCACCGCAGGGCCAAAGCCCGTCCCGTAACGGCTGTTTTTCAAACAAAGGATAACTCTTCAAATGTAAGCTGAGCTAGATGAGAAAATGGATTAGATTAGATGAACAGAGTTGGAAGGGACCTTGTTAGGTCATCTAGTCCAACCCCCCCCCCCCCCCCCCCCGCCCAAGCAGGAGACCCTAACACCATTTCTGACGTTGATTGCTGAAGGCTTCTGATCGTGAAGTTACATCTTTTGGGGTTTTCTCTGAATTGCGTCGCCTACGTTCTCTTCGAGAGCTGAAAGATGTTGGTGTGGCATGCTAGCTGGGTTGTGTTTATTGATCCTGAACATCGGCAACAGCACTTAGACCTCATAGTGTTTTACAGCCTCTCTAAGCAGTTTAAAGAGTCGGCATCTTGCCCCCAACCATCTGGGTCCTCATTTTACCCACCTCGGAAGGATGGAAGGCTGAGTCAAGGATTGAACTCCTGGCAATGGGCAAAGTTATGGAAGGGAGGGAGGGAGGGAGGGAGGGAGGGAGGAAGGAAGGAAGGAAGGAAGGAAGGAAGGAAGGAAGGAAGGAAGGAAGGAAGGAAGGAATCACTTCACAGTGCTTTCCAGCCCTCTCTAAGTGGTATACAGAGTCAGCTTGTTGCCCCCAACAGTCTGGGTACTCATTTTACCAACCTTGGAAGGCTGGAAGGCTGAATCAACCTTGAGCCAGTCAGGATTGAACTGCTAGCAGGGGACAGAGGAAAGGAGGAAGGAAGGAAGGAAGGAAGGAAGGAAGGAAGGAAGGAAGGAAGATCGCAATAGCACTTAGATTTATATACTGCTTCACAGTGCTTTACAGCCCTCTCTAAGCAGTTTCCAGAGTCAGCCTCTTGCCCCCAACAATCTGGGTCCTCATTTTACCCACCTTGGAAAGATGGAAGGCTGAGTCAAGGATTGAACTCCTGGCAATGGGCAAAGTTATGGAAGGGAGGGAGGAAGGAAGGAAGGAAGGAAGGAAGGGCAACAGAAATAGAAATAGCCCTTAGACTTATATACTGCTTCACAGTACTTCACAGCCCTCTCTAAATGGTTTACAGAGTCAGCCTGTTGCCCCCAACAATCTGGGTCCTCATTTTACCCACCTCGGAAGGCTGGAAGGCTGAGTCAACCTTGAGTCGGTCAGGATCAAATTCCTGGTAGGCGGCAGAATTAGCCTGCAATCCTGCATTCTAACCACTTCACCACCACATTGAAACCAAGCCCAAGAGGTCTCAGGCAACAAACAGCTTGTGTTCCCCAAAAAGAGAGGTTGTAGAATGGTCCTCTCTGTCTCCTCTCAGTTCTTTGGGCCATGGGTTGGGTTCTTCTAGAGAGCTGGGGCGGTGTCACGGTGAAAAGCTTGGACTGGGTACCAGATTTGAGTTCTTTGTCGGCTGTGGAAGCTTGCTGGTGGACTTTGGACCTGCCTCTGTCCCTCTTCTCAACTGAGCCACCTTCTCAAGATCTTTTCCTGAAAGACCAGAGGTGGTATTCAGCCAGTTCAGACCAGTTCAGGAGAACTGGTATCAGCGACCTGCGGGTGGGCCTGCCCATCCTCCCAGGCGCAATCCCATCCTATATCACTGTTTTTTACGCGACACACATGTGTGGACGGCACACAAGAGCGAATTGCAATGTTTCGTGACCCCGCATGCATGCGTGTGCTCACATTTCCGGTCCTGGGTGAACTGGTTGCTACAGTATGTGAAGCCCACGTTCGTGCATGTGCCACCTTGAGTTCCTGAAGGAAAGATTGGAGATCCATGAATTCCTCGGTATTACTCAGGGGGTATATGTTGAGTAAGAGACGGGGTGCAGAGGCAGTGGTGAAATCTAAAATTTGTTACTACCGGTCCTGTGGGCGTGGCTTGGTGGGGGGGGGGTAATGTGACTGGGTGGGTGTGGCCAATTTTTTTTTTTTACTTTTAAAACCATTTTTTACATGTAAAACCATGTAAAAAAAATGCTTTCAAAAGGCTCTGACAATCCCAACTGAGTTGCCTGATCGCCAGAGAGTTTTTAAAAGCTGGGATCATCAGAGCTTGGATCGTCAGAGGCATTTAAAAGAAAAAAAGCCTCTGATGATCGCGCAGCTCAGCTGGGCATAGGGGGCAGGGATTTTTGCTACCGGTTCTCCGAACTGCCCGCCGCCATCGCTACCTACTCGCCCGAGCCAGTCCGAACCGGGAGGATTTCACCCCTGTGCTGAGGGGGAACACCGCCTCCTTGCTTTCTGAACTGGCGTGTGATGGACTAACCCTAGTTGAGTTTTTGAGAGCTGTTTTCTTCATGGAGATGGAGCAGGGCATGGATTATCTCTGGGGGTTTTCGGTCAGGTCTCCAAGCTCGCTTTCTAGACACAACAGACGCGGCTGTTGTCTCTCTCTCTCTCTCTCTCTGAGTCAAGTCCTCGGGGATGAGATGAGACATCTTCCTCCTCTCGTGCTTCTGCTTAGCTTTTGTCCCAGAGAACAAGTGTTGAGCGAGAAGGTTCAGCCAAGAGATGTTCAGAAGACCCTTGGCTGAGACAGCCCAGATGTCGGGGAAAATCAGGAAAAAAGAAATGACCCAGACAAAACGGAGGAACCTTAGGACAGGATTTCTCAACCTTGGCAGCTTCATGGACTCCAACTCCCAGAATTCTGGTTTCTGGAAGTTGATGTCCACATCTCTTAAAAACTGCCAAGGTTGAACAATGCTGGGTTATTAGGACGCTACAGTACTTTGTTTTTATAGGGCAAGGGATGGCGAACCTTTTCGGCACCGAGTGCCAAA